AACTACAGAAAAAAGAATAGGGTGTGAGAAAATTAATCTGAATTTTATACAGCTGCTTGCCGAAGGATAACAAAAGTTATATCCCAATTCTTTCCTACTATCTGCTATTACTATCTTCCCTATCCTGTTTTGATAACTTATTTATTTATTACCCTACATTTCTATTGAAAAAGAAAACAACATCCATGCTGTCTTCCAGTGGAAATCTAGGGAAATAAGAGGTGCTAAGCAAGTGGATAGATTTAAGGAACCTAAAACAAAACCAATAAACAGAACAGGAGTTTAAGTTAAGTTACAGGAATGCAAATTCTGGTTGAAAGTTTAAAAGAAAAACATTCTCACAGTAAGAGCAGTTTGACAGTGGAACAGTTACTTCATCAGATCTGTTCAAGTGGAGGCTAGACATCCATCTATGTGGAATGTTTTAATTTGGATTCCTGCATTGAGCAGAGAGCTAAATTCAAGAGCATTAATGGCCTTTCCAATTATGTTATATTATGAAAATAAAGAGCCTAAAATATTTGCCTACAACCAACAAATACCTTAAATTGAGCATCTGCAACCACATTCTACAGTACTTTTACCTCATTGTTATGTTTGTGATCATATATAGGTGCTTTGGTCATTCCTTTCAAGTTCAACTGACCAATGTAGAAGTTTCCTATAATAAGTATTTTTCTGGACACCATGGATGCACATGCAACATTCTTAATTATTTAGAAAAGCAAATAATGAGCAGCTTTTTCAGGCACAAGGTGCCTTAACAATCAGAAGATAACAGATTTTTTTTAGTGGCTGAAATCCCACAAGATCATCACATCGGTCTTTAGTTATCATCTAGGGATATTGCAGGTATCTTAGTGATCAGAGGAGTAGAATATGAACTTCTGACCTAAAGAAATCAGGAGAATTATCTGCAGAATTATCACCTTTCCAAAGTACATAGCTGGAATACTGCGGTCAATTAAAGTTCGCTGTTCCTGGATTCTTCTGTAATGTTCTGAAAAGTTCATCAGCAACTGACTTTCTGATTTCTGAAGACGTTCTGAGAACAAAATAAGAAATGAAACAGTATCACAACAATGTGCGTTCTAGTATTATAGGCCAATCACAATTCTCAGGGAATCAACCTCACATAGATCTTCTCACTCTTGAAGACTATTTCTTCCATTTTCAAATTTGCCCAGGACTACCCTCCAGAGATCATTGCTAATACTAAAAATTATCTGCCACAGATAACAGTGGTAGATCTGTCCATGTTTTATGTACCACACAGCCTTTTTTGTTGTTTCCTCCTGAGTGCCATGTTGCGCTGCCAGTTCTGAAGGGCCAGGTGTTGAGATGGAGGGGCCTGGACTACTTTCTTTTCTTCCTCAGGTTTCTTTCTGTAAGTCCCCAAAACTGAGATTGCACAAGAAAGCTGTGATTCCTCAGGAATCAGTCGCGCTATCTGAAAGGAGACAATGACAAAATTAGAAAGGCAGGATAGTGTTCTGACAGGTGCCCTAGCTAATTATGTTAACTTGTTATGCTGTCTGCTTGATCCACAACACTGCTCTTGAACAAGGGCTCTTGAATTGCTGTTGAGTTGCCCTTCAGACATATTGATGAGCTTGCCTGCTGTTATTTTTGCATAGCTTTATTCCACAATACATCAATTAAGTCAAATATGGATAAACCTGGTGGCTACTGGGCTAACACTGCTCTTTCAGAAATGGGCTGCTTTGCCACAGGAAGGAAGAGCAGTAGAAAAAAATTTAAAACCAAAACAGTAGCTGAAAATGCAGTGCTTAAACAATAATAGTAATTAAAAACCTTCTATTGAAGATATAGACTTTAATATTAGCATTTATATTATAAAAAACACAGAAGAATAAAAAGGCCTTTGCCAGGAAGATACTAATGAAAGGGTGACATGGCCCTCCAGGGGAAAGATACTGCAGAATCAGGGACTACCACTAAGAAATCCTATTCCTGGGTAGTCACTCACTAGACCTCAGCATGGATTGTCTCCAGATCAGGGCCCCTAAGGATGACCTTAAGGTATGGGTAGGAACATATACAAGGAAGTGTTCATTCAGCTTCTCTGATCCTCAGCTATGAAGGGCTTTATAAGCTAGTATTAGCAGTCTGAACTGGGACTGGAAACAAACTGGAAGCCAGTGAAGATCACGTAAAACACGTGTATTATTGTTGTAACACATAGTTCCAATGAGTACTCTTGCTGCAGAATTTTGTCCTAACCAAAGTTTCCAAATAATCTTGAAAGGCAGCCCCACATTAATAGATTGCAGTAACCTAGATGAGAGGTTACCAGGGCATAGATCACTAAAGAGAAGCTATTGTTGTCTAAACAGGGCTATAGCTGGTTAAAAAAAAAAACACTTTATGCCACAAAGAACACTTGCAATTTTAATGACAGAGATGGATCAAGAGCACCCCCCAAATTACAGACTTGAACTTTTAGGGGAAACCAACTCCTAAAACAACTTAAACATTGTTCATCTGAACCAAAAAACTGTCCACTAACAGAGCCACTATCTTGTCCAGATTTAGCTTCAGTTTTTTTGTCCCTCATCCAATATAAAATTTGATACAGTATGAAAGACACACCAAGGAAGAGCCAATGCAGGCATCTCCTACAGAAAAGCTGATTTGGATTATTATCTTCACAACACTTCTGCATTTTTGTAATGCCATAGCTGAACTATAAGACCTCGTTAAATAACCACATATCCCAATAATGGAATTATTTGGCTGTTTTCACTAATTTTGACAATAAGATAATAATACAAACTAACCTGAGAGTGACCATTTTTTATGGCTTCTTTCCTGAATTCCTGGAGAGTTCCTAAAATGCTATATGGGGTGATATATCCAAAGGTATCAACTACTGGTCCTTCTATACCTATAATAAAGCATATTAAGAATGTTAAATAAAATATTCAGCATACACATTCAAAGACTGACAAACTTTAGATGCAAGTTCTTCTATTTCTGGCTTAAAACTGGGGATCCACCAACTGGAATGTAGCCAAAATGGCATGCACTTAGAATAAAAAAATTCTGAACCCAAGAATTAGTATTAAGCATTAGAACTCAATATCATTCACAGACCTTCCACATAAAGAAAAGAAAGAATGCAGTGGATGTCTTCTGGAATTCTTTCCAACCCTGTTGCAGCAGTATTTGTTTGCATGTCTGTACTAGGAAGCACAGGACAGACTTCTTAAGCAGGGCAGGGGCATGGCAAGTTACTTGGCAGGGCAAGCTACTATATATAAACAGGGAGCAAACCCCTCACCCACCAGCACTGATGATGTTACCTAGTCAGATAATGAAACCAAACTCGGAAAGCACCAAGGACTCCACACTTCTTAAGCTTTGCTCTGGGTCACATAACCA